ATACTTCACAAGAATGATCTCTTTTCACAGACTCAACAGCTAAGTTGTTCCATTCCACTGGCTTTGCATTAGCGAAAAAACTCTCCACATTTGCATCGTGAGAAGGAATAGCAAAGAAAAAATCTGCTATCCTTAACAACTCAGAGTCTACTTTTTTTTTATCCGTTGATGTACGTCACTCATTTTTGGTGCGTTTGCAGAAAGTTGAAATCTTTTCGAGTTTTAGGATGAAAACTTTACCACCTGTTGTACCGCTCAAACTTAAATGTGGCTGTTCTGCCCGTTTCCCAAAGCTTTAGGAGGGGGAATTGAATGAAATTTTGGTTTCAACAGGATGGAGCAACTGCCCATACTGCCCGCGCATCGTAGGAGTTGATAATTTAAAAAAAGTTGTTTTGAACCGTCTCAATAAAAAATTTTGAGATTTTCATGGCCGGTGTAGGACGCGAGCCGTAGTAAAATCCGCGTACGCAGGACCCACTATTGCCACGCAATAATTACTGTACTACTGTGGCCCGAGACTGTTTACAATGGGCTATAGGTTCGTAGCACTATCTCTTTTCCAGTCATGCCTCTAGAGTCAGGATGGGAGACTACCACTTCGCTAAAACCTTGACCTGATGTCTGATACTTATCGGTACAGAATTGAAACACAAAAGGACGGGCGAAAGAGTACAGTTGCACCAGTTCAGTGGTTCTCTTGAGGAGAAAACGTATCTGTGGAGAGATGGCTGACCATAGCTACGAGTCGATCGCGACGTACCTCCGTAATGGAGAGTACCCCGAGTCCATGAAGAACATGATTCTGTGAACCCCACGGCAGTAACTTGGAGTAATGGTCTGAAATGTGTGGAGAAGATAAGCGTGCGAGGACAGGGGTCGGGTTCAAAAAAAACCCACCCGGAAAAAAGACCCCTCTGAATTGACGAAAGCGGAAAAAAGCCACTGGGGTAGTTGCTTCGTAATTATTCATTTATATATATTTATACATATCAGATAATTAAAGACATTCATTTGCGGTGTTGAGACACATTCACGCAAGGATGTGGTTGATTATTATCCATGTTTTTAATATTTAAGGTGAATTGCCACAAATTATTCAAGTTACATTTCTGATTTTTCGGTTCCATTTAGAATAAAACGATGAAAGATGCAAAGCATCGCTCGATTGGAAGCACTTCTTTAAAACTATTAAAATATTATTTTCCTACTTTCACTATGAAGGGAAGGACTCTGTTCAGCTATGAACATCCTCACTTCAAGGGGGGGGGGGGGGGGGGGGGGGGGGGGAAGGAGGGGAGATGTAGGGTGGGGGGATGGGCGGGTTTATGAAGGGAAGGACTCTGTTCAGCTATGAACATCCTCACTTCAAGGGGGGGGGGGGGGTGGGGGGGTGGAAGGAGTGGAGATGTAGGTTGGGGCGATGGGCGGTTCTGGGAGGTGGATTGAGGAGGGGACCTAATCCTGATCCTCTCCACCCCCCGGAAAAAGGAGTGAAAGTGGATAGGAGGGAGATAAAATAAAAATAAAAACCTTACATGACCTCAGCGCAATAGTTATTAGAGAACAAATTCCAAGAAGTGTTCAGAGACTGCAATCATCTCATACTGCAACACGGTCACAATCAAAAGATTTCCTGCGAGGGGTTGGCCATACTATTCATCTTTAAGGAATGGGCTGACGTTTGACTTCTTTCATTTTTCATAACATTTCAGTGAAGTCGATCAAATTACATGACATCAATATCACTAAATGTCGCAAAATGAATAAGTCTTTAATCTGACCTGAACTTAATGGGATGGGGCACTTTTCCGCCTTTGCCAATTCTGGGGATCTTATTTCCGGGTGGCTTTTTTCCGCCTTTGCCAATTCTGAGGGGTTTTTTTCCGGGTAGCTTTTTTTCCGAACCCCGCGAGGACATTGAGGATGAAGAGCAAGGTGTCACCGTGATAGATAAGGAGGCTCCAATGCTGACCCGTGCGATTCAACCCTCCAGATATGTAGTGGGAGGAAACAAAATACAAACATCAGCCTCCAATGTGATAGTAATTGGAAAACTGCAACGACCTCGTTGATGTTACAGATACTAAATATGCAAAACTGGAATTGTTCACGAGTCATTTTGGCGTGGGCGTAGTAACATTTGCGTACGCTGATGTTACTACCATAGTAGAATGGACGAACGCAAAAAGCACTACGGTAGTAAAGTCAGCTACGCAAAATTGATTACGGTAGTCACAATTGCGTATGCGAAAAACACTACAGTAGTCGGATTGACAGGAGTCAGATTCGCGTTCTACACCTGCCAGAGGCCCTGACTTTACAGCCCCCAATTTGTTTTCAATGGGGCATTTTAAAGTTATCCGTTTACGAAAACAGACTAGGGTCCTGTAAAGAATTAAGCCGAAACATCGAACATGAAATAGCCAAAATTACCATAGGCATGATTCACAAAGTGATGGGTAACAGTGACACATGCGTGCCAGAACGTTGTTGCAATTACGCAGCTTTTTAATAGTTAAACAATTTATAAACCAGATGTGAATATTTAAAACTCATCAGTATGAAGTATACTATGGAGTATAAATTATTTTAATTACTATTTTTTAAAATGCAAGTCACAGAGCTTTTTTGTCAGGTATTTCTTGGCCACAATGTGCATAAATTTAAATAGAAAAAAAAACGCTCACAGAGCTTCACAGTACAACAATACATTCGCTGCCGATGACGCACATGTGCATCAAAGGCTGGTTTGGAGGCGCGCCGATGAAGTACCTAAGCGTTATCGGCGATTTGCTGCTTCTATACCTCCGTTTCTTATGGGACATGGGGCACAAGGAGCTCGGTATTGGCAAATAGCATGAACCATGCGACTCTAGGTGGCGCTGTAGTTTCTAGGTAGCATCATATGTGAAGTAAAGTATCTGTATCTAGTATCTGACTTCGTTCACTAAGAACTTGAATTGGCTGATGAAAGCATTGAAGATGTGGAAATTTCAGATGTGAGACCTGCTGACTCTCAACACAGAATGCGAAGATGAGATGGTGACCATGAAGTCTTGAAGAGAGACTCCAAATGGAGGGAATAGGAAGCAGGAAACGTTACGGACGTGTCGTCACACCAATGTTGTCAGGTCCGAAAAAATTCGGAATATTGGTGTCTAGAGGATGATTCCCGGACAAATTCGATACTTCAAAAATCCGCCCGGATGGAAATGTGAAGGTAAAAGATGAGGACGTGTCCGGGAAAAATCGGACGTATGGTAACCAGGGCCGTATCTAGGATTTCATTTCGGGGGGGGTTGAGGTCTGGCGTATGGACTGTGGCAATTTTTTTTTATACTTGTCATTGTAAGTCTTTGTGACATCTGGATTTTCCTGTAAGCTGCAGTGTTTAATAAGTCATAAGCTATTAAAGATAGAAAAGACCATGTACTGCACCGTTTACACTAACGAATAGCAGTATGGCAAAAATTTAAGGAAGATATTTCGGGGGGGGGTTTGAACCCCATGAACCTAAATACGGCCTTGATGGTAACCCTAGATATAATTTCTGACGTGACTTCTATATAGCAGCGGCGAGATTCACTTGATATCGTCCTTCCATTGGAAAACCTGAATGAAAGGACAAATGGATTTTTAGGGGGGGATTTCCATCCTTAGACACTCATAAGTGACGAAATGCCATGAGAAAAATCCATTGATGAGATGCTACATGTGAGAGCATTGAACATGCAGGCTTCTAGAAGGGAAAATTGAAAGCTTCCCTATCTTCTACTAGAGCAGAGGTTCTTAACCTTTTTGCACCAACGGCTCCCTCAGATCCTCAAATGGACCCCCACCCCTGGTTATCAGAAACTTTGGAACACCTGGATTTGTGATTATAAATTGTTTTTTTTGGGAGCTATCTTCAATTATATATTTAATTTTCCATGGACTCTCCACGGACAACCTGGACCCCAGGTTAAGAACCCCTGCACTAGAGTCAGGTTTAAAGGTCCCTTAGCTAAGGGAGGAACGTGAATACGGAACATCTAGGGGTCCCTTAACGGTTAGGGGAGAGACGTGAATACGGGCCTTCGTGGCATTCAGCGGAGTTGGGAAAGTAAATTTAGCCTGAAGCAAGGTTAACGCCTGAGGGGGATTGGCTTGGTAGGGCACACTTAATAGGTCCCAGTGGTATTTTTTTGTTGTCTCAGGTTCAAGATCTCCCATCCAATTAGACTTCTCCTCCCTTCTCTAAAGTCTTAAGAAAGGAGGTCCTGGAGTCAGTCCCCTTCAGTCATGAGTCTAGCTGGAAACATTTTAAGGATAGAACAGTGAATAGAGGTTCAGTGCCATGTCATGGAAGAGAAGTGCTTAAACTGGAACGCTTTTTGATTCATTACGCAACCAAAGACAGCATAATATGAAGAAAATTCAGGAATGGAAAACTTCAACAGTGTTGTGTTATCGGTTGTCCCTATGGACAAGATTGCACAGGAACCTATGCATGTTAGTGAAAATGGCCCTTTTCAGTCGCAAAAATATAATTTCCCAAGAAAAGGGGTAGGGCGTTCAATGCAAAGTACTTTGATATGTGGCCATGGTTTTCGTACTTGCCAGCGAAAGATGCGGTTTGATGCTACGTATGTTGTGTATGCATCAGCAGGTCTTTTTCGGAATTGAGGCGGCTCAAGAATTGACTGCAGAGGAAGATGACACCACAGAGCCTGACAAACGTCACATTGATGCATGCACATCAAGACATTTTGGACTTCTTAGAATTAGATAAATAATTGAAATAATTTGCAAAGAAAACTGAAGCAAGGAGAATATATGCCTTTTAGTTTCACATGAATTTGATATCCTGATGGTGTTTGAATTACATCGTGATTTTCCAAATTTAAGAACTGACCCATCTCATTTGCTTCCAGGGACGTTCCTACGCCTATGCTTCCAAGAGTGATATCACATGGTTCAAATTAAGTGTTACCCCCCACTGAATGTTGTAATGAAAGGCACTGAACACATATCTGTATCTCACCTCACATTATTGTGACAACCAATTCTCCAAGTGGAAAAACATTTTACAGGTCAATCAAATCTTGGAATAACAGCAAAAAGCATATATCATACTTCCCCCATACAAGCCCAAAGGCTGGACACAAGGCTGGAGATGCCCTTGACTTCTTCCCTGTGATTCATTTGCTGTTAGGTAAGAATCTTTCACAAAAAGAAACAACAGCATAATGATTATTCTCTCCAATGACATACTTCTAATTATCTGACTTGAACAGGCATGAACAACAGAGACAAATGTTTGGGTCCAATTTAACATGCAATTCAATGAGGGACAAGAGACACCATGACAGTACTGTATCAGCATGGGATACAGGAACAAAACTGATAGGCTAAAAGTAAGGTGTACTTTACAGATGAAGACTCTAGAAGTCATGGATATCATTCCCCCTGTAAGTGGAATAGTATTGATTAACAAATATCACAGGAATCACTTGTCACTTAGGCTTACAAGGTATACAACAACTTGTAATGATTCCGTTATAACAATAAACTATCCTGCACTTGGCAATGGATGAAGCCCACTTGGCAGATTTAGTCCACCTTCATCCACTCCTGAACTGACTTTCATGAGGACATGAGCAGTTCTGCTGATTTAGTCCAAATTCAATTTCGGTTTAGACAAATGTTGCCTTCTTGGTACAGCTTGGAAGCAATGCCAACCATTAATCGCCCTTTTGGAGACCCTCCAGGCGTTGGAGGAGGGGTGGATGAGAGTGGTGCCATGCAGAATAGAGCCAGTCATGGATGGGAAAGCCAAGATTATCCCGGTTCAGTTTCACCAGTGCTGACTGGAGCTCTCCTGCTTTCCTCAGTGATTTGGCAAACCGGTCTGCCTGGAACTCAAAGTGCCGGCTCAATGCTGTCACCAGGAAGCCAAGGACCTGCAATTCAAGGCAGTTATATTTGACTTCTGTCAGTGTATTACTTGATGAGGAGTGGACAAGAAAAAATGCAGACCTCTTGGTAGGGAAGTAGGAGTATCTGGAGAACAATAATGAGGCCCATGAGGATGGGACGCTCATTCATGAAGCCAAATGCATGGTAAATGAACGGTTGGTGGTAGATCATTGAGAAGAACAGGAACATGAGGAACAAGTTTGCCTGCACACATAATAACACCATCTACATAATTTTCAGATTCATGCTATCAGTCTGAGCCTACTCCTGTTCTTAGGAAATTAAAAACTGAAAATGTTCCACAGTGATATATGGCAAGTGCTTTTCCTACACATGGCAGAAATTGAGGTACTCTGCAATAGTCATGCACCAAGTATGGAATCACTGCAAAATCAATCAGCAGAAATCTCTTGCACTTGTCTCATTGTCATTCACAACTTCATAATTACACGACAGTCTTGACAAGTGCAGAATGCCACTGGAGATGAGAGCAAGAGACAAACCTGAATGATGACTATGTTCTTCAGGACATGATTATGGTACCAGTGCCCCAGTTCATGACCCAGCACAGCCAGGATTTCCTCATTTGAACAGCCCTTTCCTTCCTTCTTCTCTTCCACTTCATTGTCCTCCTTTTTCCCTTCCCCTTCATCTTCCTTTTTATTCCTTTCATCCTCATCTTTTTGGTCTCCCTCTTCCTTCTCTTCCTCTGACTTGGACTTGTCCTTCAGTAGTGTATCAAACAAGACAATGCGCTTGTTGTTCCAGAATCCATAGAAGTAGGCATTACTGTGTGCTGAACGTTTTGATCCTGAAAAGTGAAGATGTATTACATTTTTGTTGTTGGTTCCTTTGACTTACATCAGGTGAGGCAAAAAAAGGAGCATTGCACTTTGAAAACTTGTGGTGCCTCTGAACCAGCAGCTAGCAAAAGGTTTATTTCATACACGGGTAAATAGGGTTATGCATACAAGGTTAATGCAGCCTTTGAGAGGTCAAGGCCTACATTTCTTTCATCCCTTACCAGGAAATACTAGCAAAATTCTAGTCCACCCACCCATCCTTTTGCAAAGAAGAGCATTTTCATGTGCTGATGGAGTAGCTCTGGCCTAAGATTGGTGCACTCAATGTGTAGCAACCACTCTTCTGCCAGAATGTTTTCTTGTGCAAAAATAAAAATGAAGTGGCTTTCACATTTCATTCATGTGCTAAAATGATTGGAGAAAGATGAACAAGAATTCTAGTATATTTAAATGATAAATAGAAGTCATTGCAAAAATACTTTGCCATCCTATCTGCTACCACATGAACTCCAAAGAAACTCAGAGTGGGGTCTTTGCCACACCTGATATTTTGTAGTATAGTATTATATATAGTATAGTATTTTGTAGGTAGATAATCTGGATCTGGTAATAGATGTGCCTAGTGGCTGCCCAATCATAAGATGGGGTAAGCTATCTTTTGAAACTTGTTTTCTTTAGCCGGTGAAACCATACATGTCCAGAAGGACATTATTTTCAGATCATTCCACAAGCTCACATCCTCATTTATCACAGACTTTGACATCCAGAATGAAATATACCCTCTAGGTATTAGGAGGCAAAAGAATAGGTTACAATTATACTATTAATATGATAAGAACTGATTAATATACTGATAAGTATTGGTGCATCTCTAAATCCTTGATGGTAAAATCTCAAATATTTCTTCGTAATGCAGCCTGAACTCAGAGAGACTTCATACTGGGATCCCTTTGGCTTTCACTACAGAATGTCTCAGAAGTTGTGTGCACCTTAGACTATATGACAAAATGGTTTTAGCTAATGTGTAATCACAGTATAAGTTCAACATGTTGTCCGTCTTGAATAATTTAGAGTTCAATCCTGTTTTTCAATGAAGTTTGAACATCTTCTAACACTTCTGGAGTGATGGACTGGCATGCATTCATAACTCATTGTATGAAATGATTGACATCACAGATGTGCTCTGAGTAAACCATCACTTTAACATGTCTCCACAAGTAAAAGTCTAAGGGAGAGAGGTCTGGAGACCTGAATCTTGACCTTGTGTAACAATCTGCTTACAGATGTGTGGGATATTGGTTCTTGGTCAGGATGTGGCTCATTAAATTTTGTTGCTACCTCCTGATTACTTGCACTCCCACACAACAGAATAATCTCCACCTGCTTGTCTTTAGTTAATGCCATAATTAATCAATCTGTAACAAAAGAAAAATTATATTCCATATGGTTAAAAAAATTACATATGGTGTGCAACTTCTGGAACACCCTGTAGATAGGAGTAAGCCTACATGCTAAAACAATACAGAATTTCTATTCACATACCAACAAGTATACTATAAACGGCAACAGTTTAAAGTACAGTTTTTTTCAAAAAATGTGCACTAATATTACACCAGAGATAAATGACATAAAAATAATTTTCTGCACTCAAAAATTGTCAGCATCTACAGTACTGAACAAATTATTAGAAATCTCTAAGCGAAACCTCTGATTTTTGAAAAACCCTCACTGTGGGGTATCCGGGTGGGTGATATGGATGAAACTTCAGCCTAGTATCCAATAAATATTCAGTTTCGTTCTTGTTTCTTTGTTGTTGGACAAAAGTTTGTAATGTCTCAGAAATTTTGAATTTACCAACCCCCTGATGGGTAAAACGAGCGATTTGAGTCCTCGTAAAAGAGGACAAATTCAGGTTTTACTCGAAAACAGTGAATTGAGCCAGTGTGAAATAGCAAAAAAACTGAAAGTGTCAACAGCATCTGTGTGCAGAATAAAAAAACTCTTGAGTACTGGCAGTGATCTGGCAGTGAAGCGCCAAGGAAAATGTGGCCGAAAGAGAAAAACTACTCCACGGATGGACCGCAAGATTGTGCACCTCAGTCAGTCAGATAGAAGGGCTTCATGCAGGAAAATTGCATCTGTTTTGCAAGAGGAAGGTATAAAGGTGAATCGTATGACAGTTAATCGAAGACTGATGGAAGCTGGACTTTATGCCTACCGACCTAGGAAGAAACCTCTATTGACAGACAAAATGAAGAAATGTCGTTTGGATTGGGCGCTTGCTCACAAAGACTGGAATGCTGATGACTGGTCAAAAGTTATATTTTCTGATGAGTCAACTATTCAAGTATTAGATGACAGAGTTCAGACAGTTCGTAGAAGACAGGGAGAAGAATTTAGGGAGGATTGCCTCAGACAGACGGTGAAATTTCCTTCAAAAGTGATGGTGTGGGGGGCAATATCCACCCAAGGCACAAGCCGGTTACACATTATTCAGGGAACAATGAATGGTGAAAAGTATGTGGACTTATTGAACTCACGTTTAAAACCTCAAATAAAGGACTGGTTCCAGGATAACCCCTGTATTTTCCAGCAGGACTCTGCACCTTGCCACACCGCACGCAAGGTCTACCAGTGGTTTGACAAAAATAGGATTCATGTACTACCATGGCCTGGGAATTCCCCAGACATGAATCCTATTGAGTCATTGTGGGACATACTCAAGGACAGAATCCATGAAGTGCCTATTACCAACAAAACCAAGCTCATAGAACGTTTGGTAGAGGTTTGGTTTAGATCAGATGAAATCCGGAATTTCTGTTCAACCCTCATTAGAGGCATGCCAGAGAGAGTGGAGGCCCTGATCAAGGCCAAGGGTGGTCATATTAAATACTGAATGGACTTAGGAGGTGTAATCTACAGTTTTCTAATACTTACTATATGTAAATGATATTATTATGGTTTGCAAAGTATGAATAAATGAATTTCCTTGAAATTTCTAATAATTTGTTCAGTACTGTAAGATGGGATTCATAATATTCCAATCAGGAGGGGGTTAGCCAGAAAGTTTGCAGAAGCATGGGAGTATACAAGTAGAGTGAGGTTTGATATACAGGGTGGACTAGAATTCTGGAATCATAGCTTAAAAAGCATACTTGTCGATAGTGGGCAACAAACAATCCACACTGGGTGATGGAAGGACAAGTCCAAAATGACCCAAAAGTCATAAAGATCATGAAAAATTGAAGAATTAAAACTATGTATCTCTGAAGAATGTCACAAAATATCTCTGGACACTCTCAGAAGAGTCACAGTCAGCACACAAGCAAGATGTGACATGTATTTCCAATTAGGATGGCAGTATGAACACTTTTAGAGAAAAGTGTACAATACAATGATTCCAGACTTCTGGTCCACCCTGTAGTTCAGAATAGGATAGGATTTGAATTCCTCCCCTTTTTGACATAACTCTGCTAAGCATATGTGGCATCATACCTTACTCCATGTAAAAAGTGTATCAATGCAAACCAGCTGCATAGAATTGGAAATATATGGAAAATCTCCAAAAAATTCATCAGCACAAGCAGCTTATGCCACCTAGACACTGTGATGTTTGATTGGGAATCATCTTCACATGTGAGAGCCATTTCAGCTATTGTCAGTTGAAGTTGATCTGTGCCTAACACAATAATGAATTACAATGCTATTCAATCTCTAAGGAAACATCCAGTGCAGGATAGCAGCAAAGAGCAAAAACATGCATTCACAAGTTTGAATCAAATACCACACCATATTAGTTAGTAACTAGCATGCAGTCACAAATGTCAAGATCAAAAGATTCTAGGTAGCATTACATGGTATGATTCATTATCACTATAGCTATTGTTTTGGAATTAAATAAACAGCCCTCATAGATGGCAATTACTTGTAAATAATGGCTACCTTTTCAACCATGGTATCATATATACCCCTTATGCAATGTATAAGTAACCATAGTGCTCCCTATCCACATATATTGCCATCTGGAAGGCATAGAAAAAAACTTTTTGACACAGCAACTTCTTTCATGTACCAGCTGGATCCAATAAATTCAACATTTATGACCAAGCAAAATTGGGTGATTTCTATATTTAAAAAGTCCTGTATGTGAACCAACCTTCAACAATATAAATCTTCTTGAGTGGAAAGTGGAGTGATGCAGCCAGCTCCTCAATGGAAGTCCGCAGGGGCCCCTCCTCCAATGGGGTATACTTGTCAAATAATGGAGCAATGAAGTCTGGATAGATGGCCATGAGAAAGAGCATCACAACAACAGAAAAGAGCCACAGAAAGATGAAGAAGTAGTCCCCGCCAACTTGGATGATGGCAATGAATCCACCTATGAGTGGGAATGTGATGATCTGCCCAACAAGAAAAGCCTTGATCTGGTCCTTCACATAGAACCATGGTGTCTGCAAAGGAAGAAACAATGATCAATTAGAAGTGAGAGGAGGTATTGCAAAATATTTGGTTAATAATAATAACACTTAGTCACTGGCTCAAGTAAACAAATTTGAGTGAGAGTCCTTACTTAAAAAGCTGTGTGATGCCAAGTCAAGCAGTGAGCCTGGCACATCAGAAATGGTCAAAACATGAGGGATAAGAAGAGTAAAGAGGAGGAAGAAATGTACAGAATAATGCTAAGTGATAGTGAATAATCAAATGGTTGGGGGTCAGAGTGATTGCAAAATGATCATCCACACTTGGCTCTATATTCCTCAGTGAGTTTCAACTTATCAAATTGATTAAATATATTTTTAAATGAATGAAATTTGCAAAATATAATGTTAATTACATCACATTTGTGAGATGCTGTGAAAATTTTATGAACAGAGAAGTAACAGTATCTCTGCAGACATAGCCAAAAGTTTCGTGCTGATATAAAGGCAGACAGACATCTGAGTGAACTGCATCATTTCTTTTTCAAAGAAATGAGGTTCTGAGACCCAAAAATGTGACATGCAATTCCAAACATTAAATCCAATTCTCCTGGAATCTTAAGAGTTCTTCATTTTTAGGGAGTCGAATTACCTCTTGTACAACCAAGAGGTTCTAATTTTTTGTCCTAAAAATTTCTCTCCATGGACACACTACACCTGTATCATGGATTCATGTGAAGTTATAATGTATCTTGTGATTACAATCTCTTCAATATGCTAAGGAAGAGCAGGAGCAAACCCTTTCCAATACAGTTTGGACCAAGCAGGCAGAGGGCTACTCCCTGATCTGCAAGGAGTGAAGGAGAGAAGGTGTGGTCATGATCTTAATGCCCTCAAAGAAATCATAAAATAAGTCATTATGGTTTTGAACGTGACAGCACAAGCAAGAAATATCTTTGTGGTAACATGAAGTGTTGCAAAATATCCAGCAGTCAAGCTGCTGTCCTAGCGTAGGCCTTTTAATCAGTTGTCCAACATTGATTTTCATAGGAACTTTCCTGGAATCACATCAAACACATTTGAGTTTAGAACTCAAACTAGGACTCCCACTGGAAAAAGACTCGATGAAAATTCAATCAAATTAACCAGCCTGTGAAGAACTTAGGGGAGAGAAATGTAAAAAATGTAATGACAAAGTTTCACTTGAATAATTACCATATTGCACAAATTTTTGCAAAAGGTATACTAGATAAAACTACTCAAGATTTACCTGCTTGTTGAAGCCATGCTTGGCTTCTACAACAAAAGTACTATAAATTGAGAATGGCAAGCTGATGACTTTGTTGAAAGTGTTAATGACAAGGACGCAAGCCAAGCTCTGCCAAATCTCATCTCCTTGTGAGCCTTTCTCCCATTTCCAACCAGTCTTGGTATAGAAACAGTCTGTCATTGATCGTCCAATGTCCCAAGCCAAGGGTAGGCCTCCAAACAAAACCAGCTGGAATATAGGAATGAAACCAAGAGAGATAAGGAATGTGTGCAAGGTGAAACTGCAGAGGAACAAGAATAGCTTCTTACAGTGAGAACTAATTGGTCAAATAACTCTTTGACCAAAGAGAAATTGGCTCTATCCAAGCTGTAAACCCTTGCTTTCTCAAACTCCTCTTCCTCCATGATGTCTTGTAAATTGGGTGGCATCTTCTGTACTTTGAGGTATATCCTCCTCTGCCAAAGATGCACAGTTCATAACTTCACAATGCAAGGAAACTTCCAAGACTACATGAGCATCAGGGGATGATAACCCAAGGAATGTTTGACAGCAGCAGATAATTTTTTAAAACCCTAGAGGTGGCAAGGTTAAATCCTGTGCCAGGTGAACCGTTGATTGATTGGCAGTTGCTGCTTCTAGGGTTAATGGTCTCACAATGCGTTGACTGGTTGGCTTGATTGCCTTCATTGAAACTTGATTTTAAAGATGATGTTGCAAGTTTTACTGACAAAAACTCTCCACTGTCAATATTGTCATGACAAGCTTTTTGGCAGGAAAAAAGTCCACTTCCTAACTTGAAATGTATTTTTGCTCTGCTCCCATGCTCTCCAGGAAGGTGATCATCAACAGAATTATTGGTGATCAACAGAAATTTCATCCAAGAAGGAACTTAATGCCAACTCATTAAAAGTCTTAATTCAAACCCCAAAGGATCAAGGTTATGCTGTTGTGGGGGAATGTTTCATCTCAGCTACAAGGATTTCCATGAGTAGCTGAACAATGACAAATATATATTGAAAAATGTAATCAAATATGTTGGAACACTCACCAATGCATAGGTTGAATAAAGAGAAAAGAGGTATAGAAAAATATTTTGACTAACATTCATTCTTGGGTTTTTCAGCTCTGTAGAAAGAACTTAAAGGAAAATTTGCAAAGAATGTCCTGATTTTTATGGAAAAAAATTTTGGTATCATAATCTATCTTACTCATCAATAAGGAAGGCCTAGATCCTATTTATACAAGGTCTGACAATAAAATAACAAGACTGACAACACTGTAATGCGTGTGGCAACACTGGGTTACTAGCGATTGCTGAAACCTGTCAGTGCATGTCTTTAGTCTTTGCAGTAACAAAATTGTCGTGATACTTCTAGTGATTGCAGAGTAGTACCACTTTACCTAAAGTAGTGCTAGGGGCACTCGTAAAATAAATGGGTGATAATATTATGAACAAAGAATCAACGTGAAATTTCTAATCAAACTCGGGAAAAAACCAATTGAAGTCTTTGAAATGTTGAAACAAGTGTATGGAGATGAGGTTATGTCCAGAGCAAAATGAATTTGAATGTTGTTAATGTTTTCCTGAAGGAAGGGAAGAAGTTGAGTTTGACAGACAACCTGGACAACTTCAAAATCAGATGAAAACATTGAAAATGTGAGAACTCTGGTGCAAAGTGATCGTCGTCTTATTGTAAGAATGATTGCCGAAGAACTGTGTATCAATAGAGAGACAGTATGATTGATTTTTAACGGAAAGCTTAACATTTCAAAGACTTCAGTTGGTTTTTTCCCGAGTTTGATTAGAAATTCCACATTAATTCTTTGTTCATAATATTATCACCCATTTTTTTGACAAGTGCCCCTAACACTACCTTAGGTAAAGTAGTACTGCTCTGCAATCACTAGAAGTATCACGACAAGTTTGTTACTGCAGAGACTTAAGACATGCACTAACAGGTTACAGCAATTGCCAGTAACCCAGTGTTGCCACACGCAGTACAGTGTTGTCAGTCTCGTTATTTTATTGTCAGACCTCGTATACAGGGTAGGCCAAAAAAAAAACTGGTCAGTTTTCCATAATACATTATACTTCCCTCACAGCATATATTTTAATGCAGTTTGTGGCATTTGAAAGAGGAATGAATAAGCTATAAATTGGGGCACTTACATTTCACATTTATTCAACAGTTTTATAAATTTGGGAGCTCACATGAACAACATGCAAAAAGTGCATTAACCATGCACTTGGACACAGATGGCATGTGACCTTCAGCTGCTGTTGGTCCATTTTCACTGCTACAAAAAAAATGCAGTTTTTGATAGCAGTTCATATGAGCTTTCTAATTTCTGAAACTATTGAAGCTATTTGAAATGTAAGTACACTGTTTTAATGCTCAGTCATTAATCTTCCAAGGGCTGCAAAACTCTTAAAAATACAAGCAGAGAGTGCAGTACAGTGTATTGTTGAAAACTGTCTGGTTTTTTTGGTCCACCCTGTATAGCACACCAAAGACATGACTCAATTATATAGTTAAGCTATATTGAGTCAGACAAAAAAAGACTTCCTAACTAACCTGTCTGCTAGATAGAAAAGTTTCCCACAAGTAAGCAGCCCAGAGAAATGCAGTGATTGCAAACAAGACATTTTGAGCAAAGTCTTTTTCTTCTTCAGAGGGTAAAGAATGGTCTCCAAACCCAAGGAAAGATATTGGTACCAGGACCATCTCTATTTCACTGCTTCACAAGGCCAATGGTCAATGTTACCTGCAAATAAAAAATTGACAAAAACCTAGACATCAGTTGAACCTAGAATGAAAACCTGTTTGCAAATAATGCTAGACCATTTGTGTACATCCTCTCCAAATGAACTATAATTGTGCTAATGGACCAAATATATGCACACCATACACATTGCAGTCCCCACTCATAATGCATGCTTCATCACCATTCCACATCCCTGCATGCATAGTAAATACGCGAAAGTTGAGCCCGTTTCCTTAGTACAATGATGTTTTGCACAAGAGAGGCTCCATAATGAACAAATGCCTCACGCAGGGTTGTGAATGTGTTTATCTGTAAAAGTTGGATTATGATCTACAATATCAGCTTAAAAGCCTTTGCATCATTAGTAATGATATTGTGAGAAGCATTGAAATGCAATAATATATCTGGACGCATGAATTGAACCAATCAAAAGCTGACCCTGCAGTTCCTCAAAGTCGGCCAGTGATAGTGCTTCCTAACTTCACTAAGCATCCATCACCCGGCGTGAAGGCCTTAGAAAGCCTCTATATGTGCACGCTGCTCGCCGTGTTGGCTTGCAGAGCCAGGAACAACCAATTTTGGACAGAATGTATTTTCCCTGCATAATTGCCTGAGAGGTTCAAAGAGGGGACTAGCTGGATATTGCTTGACAGTCAAACTTGATTAGAATATCCATGGCCTTTAATATAGATCTTAGGCTGACCATGGAAAGATAGATGTACGGTTAGCACCACCAGAGACGTGCCGTTGTACATATGAATGCAGAATTCCCGACCTTAGGCATGTGCTTCACTTGCCTACACCTACGACTAGAGATCGAGTTTCAGAGACCCTCACCGCGATTTGGTCCAGAAAATTGACCCTCTAAAATATCGAATCCCAAGAACATAATGATGTAACCATTTCTTACAGCATACTCTTTAGCTACCTTAGAACACTATATTTATGACCATCAACGCTTAGAAGCACCAGTAAGTACCACAACATAATATATACCAGGGACATTCATAACCATGATCTCAGCATGCCTCACTTAAAGTAAGAACGATGTAACTTAAGGAGCTCATTTCCGGTTGACTATAAGGATTAACAATGATGCATTCTCTGTAAGACACATTTTAAGCTTCACTTAAAACATGGATTCAAAGACGAAGACACAGAGGGCAGTATGTCATTATAATGGCAAGGTCCGTGAAGTGAACCGGAATTCCGTCCAAATTTGTGCATGGGTCAACTTTCGCATTCTTACGTTAACACTTGAAGATCTATATCCCTCCAGCAAGAGGGGACAGGACTGACCAGATAAGCACTCATCCCTTCATCAACCAAGAGCTAATATGACACTTATAGCTCCCAGAGTGGCTGTAAACGCACTTCAGAGCAATACAGTAGGAGTTGAAATTTCTAAAGCTTTCCTCTCTATCCATTGGACATTGTTGCATACATGTTTCCATGTGTCATGATCACCATTGAGCACCTATGTCACTATTCATATGGGTCTATGACCTGCTAGTGAAAACTTATCCAGAGGATAGTTATGTGGTGGAGAGTACTCTAAGGATAGAAGTGTAGCATGCATGCTCATAATTGAAGAATATATGTATAATTCTTGCATAGGAACACCTTGCACAATATCACTACAGTCCTCATCAATAAACTGAAGTTCATCTGGACATAAGGGTTCAACATATGCAGAAACAAATAATGAGATACAGATCTTAATCCAGAAAACACACAAGAGTTGTTGATGTAGATAGAATGACTTTTAGACCAATAGAGAACTTCTAAATGCTCAAAGGCAATCAAATAGGCAGAGTTTGAAATTCAACAGCATATAAGCCCATAATCAATAAGTGTTAAACAATACCCTGAACCTACAAGATACTGCACAAGCGGTTTTCTTGAAAGAAAGAAAATTCTCCATCAGTCCAAGGCTAGGTGGTAGTTGATTCTAATGCTATAATCCTTGCCTTCACTAAGATTGTTTTCTATACTCTATTTTAGCTGTAACAATACAAACATTCCCTTTGATGCTTCTCTTGTCTTACAGAAGTATTTCTTTTCAATCATTTGTATGCTGAAGTTCAATAACAAAATGGAAATGATGTTTTTGAGTAGGCTAATTCAAGGCAAATTCAAGGCTAATTCCAATCCCATTAGGCTTAAATCCATCCCCTCACTTATGTTTTAAAATTGGTCTTAGGGTCTATTCCATTTGAAAGGAAGATGCTCACACTGTCAATTTACACTTTGAGAGCAGATATTGGTGTAATTTGGTTGAAAAAAGCAGATTGAATTTCTCATACTCAATTATGTGACATAGGGGGTGGACTTTATTAGGGACAGTGTCAGAACTTGTTTCACTAACTCTATCAACTCACTGAATGGAGGAATGTTCCAAAATCTTAAGTGTGGTTCAAATTGCCAAATTTGCCCAGCAAAACAAGTTAGTCATAAACTCTCCTACAGTTTTTATTGGTTCAGTCTGATCCACTGGCTGTTCACCATGCTGTTTGACAATAATTCATGTTTGAATGCATTAATGCAAAGTATTCTGCTACTGCTCTTTGGCACCATGGAATATGTTCTAATTCTAAACAGGATCCCATCCATCTGAGCAATCCACATTATGCATTCAACCCATCCTTGGTTCTCATCTATAGCCACTCCCAGATGTTATGATGATCTATTTTCCCCCCAAATTTAACATTAATTTTCATTTGATCCTTCTCAGCAATTTGATAACAGTTTCATTTTAGGTTTTCAACGCATTTAAGTCTTCTTCAATACTTCTACCAAATAAAAGGAACTACCACCACTTACATATAACTACAGTATATCCTTTTCAAATACTGTTTCCATATTATTGAGGTAGATTTAAGAGCATTACCACTCCCAACCCTATGTCAAATGGTATTCCACATTCTATTGCTAGGGGCTAGGGTAAGGTGACCAGATTTCTGTGTCGCAAAAGTGGGACGCCCAATAAATACTTCCCCTTGCCTCTTGAAAAAGAATATGAATGTATTTGTTGGACTGACAATTGTATTTATTATTGCCAAACATGAAATAGAGCTGTTATTTAATTGTGCATCCACAGTCCTAAAGAGGGAATTTCAGGAAAGTTTGTATAACTTGTCTTTCAAATGTCTCTGGATGCAAGGTGTTATCAAATCACCAGAAGAGGAAATTTGTGAAACAACGTCGAACATGCGAACATAGAAAATGAAACCAAAAAATTCCATGAAATGGTGGAAACAGAATTTAAACAATAAATAATACAAGTGCATTTGATATTTGAAACAAAGCTAAAGATGAACAGAGTTAATTTCGGGATTCAGCCCAGATTTTACTGCACAGGCATGCAACTGGAAATTCGTTAACTGTACATTATTCATGATTCATCCGAGTCACGGTACTTCTGTTTTCAGAAAAAAATGTCAGCAGCATCACATGTGCAAAACGCTTCTGTGCCATTTCTGTGACATTTTCACTTTACTGCAGCAAGCAGGGATTTTGACCCATTTTTGGCAAGAGGGGAGGCCTGGCCTCAAAAATTCTCAGGAGTCACTTTCCCATGCAATTTGAAAACATCTATTAAGGTATCAAATATCTGAAAGAAATCTCTGAGAATCATTAAATTCATTCTCAATTGACGCAAAACGAGTCAAGTTCAGTCTCTGAAAGTTGACTCCTGTCTGGAATCGCGGATGGGAAGTCAGAACCTGGAGACTTCCCAACTCAGAGATAACTATGAGGTATAAGGGTATCACTTTGTTCATGCAATATAAAAGTAAACGATGGCAGGGAGGCAGTGAGCACGAGCAGTGCCTGCTAACAAGAACTAGCAAATTTTTAGGCACATTAGCTGTTTGGTAATCCATATTCCCATTGCCAATTTATATCTATGCAGTTGCCATGGATAAAAAAACTCAAGATATGCTATTCATAATCATGATATTCGCTTGGTTTAGTTCCTAAACAATATGTTTAGGAGAAGTTCTGAAACTCACAAGGCTAGAAATTCAACCGTCGTATCATTCTATCATCGACATTTTCCAAAAGTGGGACATTTGGGCGCCCTGCTTACTTCATCTGGGGACACCGGGACATGTGGTCTGAAAGTGGGACTGTCTCGCCTAAATCGGGACGTCTGGTCACCTAAGGCTAGGGGAATCACTTTGTGTGCCACCTGCTGCCTATTCTTCACGCATTCACACAGCTATCAATGCAATGTTTCCTCTTATCCTTAATATTTCCATTACTCTCAGCTTTGTCATTGTTAACATAAATAAAAAAATAGAATTTCTCGATGTCCACGTTTGGGATGCTCCCAAGATTGCTCAGTGGGCAGTAATGTATCATGGCAACTGGCAACAACTATAGACTTGTGTAGTCCCCTAGTAGGCTTAACGTTAGGTTTAAATGAAAACTCAGGAGTAATGGAAGCGGTCAATTGCCTACGAACTTAACCGAAAAAGCGGCTCGAGCACGTGTACGCCTAAATGACTGACGACATTATCCATCAGTGTTGCAAGGGCATCTGGTCACATATTACATTTTTAGTTTCCGCGACGGATGACGATCAGGTGTTACATGATGTTACATCATTTACATCCGAGAAAGATAGGGGGACTCAGGTAATTACAAAATCATGTGGGAAATCAGACGGTCGAAGGGGAGCGATAGACCGAAGAAGGATACGTGTGATTATTGGACAGAGACGCTTGGTAAGGAAATGAACCCCAATCTCCCCTATTCCCTCCCCCCCAATGTGACTGTCACCTCTCAGCCATGCCCCTATTTTGTGATAATCCCTTAATCCCCCTATCCCCCCCCCCCCCCTCCTCTCCTCCCGCTCAACGCTCCAGCCCCCAGGCCCAGCGCCTTGAGGATATTTGGCGCCCTGTGTGAGATATAGCAGTCCAGCGCCCCCCCCTCTCTCTCCATCAGTGGCGTAGCCAGGTTTTCGTCAATGGGGGGGGCTAAGCGGAAAGTTGGGGGGGCTAATGGGGGGCTAAGCGGAAAATTGAGGGGGCTAACTTCGCCGCGTCGGGGTGGGGCAGACGCATTTCGACCAGAGTTGGGGGGGCTTGAACCAAACTTGGGGGGGCTGAAGCCCCCCCCTCGCTACGCCACTGCTCTCCATACCTCTCCAGCTTCCCCAGCATCAACAAGATATTGCTTATTAATTTATCTGTTTAATTTAGTTAAATTCAGGATAATTTGCAATTTTTTAAATAGTTTTATTCATATTTTGTAATAATTCGGCAGCCAATCGGCGCCCTGTGCGGGGGCACCACTCGCACACCCTTCCCAAACAAACAAGCAAGGCTGTTTCTAGGGGCGGGCGATCGCCCCGGGCACCAGCGGAGGGGGGGGGGGGGGGGGGGGGAAAAAAAAAAAAAAAAAAAAAAA